ATCAGGCCCGGGTGACTTGCAGGCATCTAACTTTTCTAAGTGATTTTTAACTTGTTCTTTTTTATTTTATCTGCTAAACCTACCCCTTCCCATTAGCATTCACTATGTTAGGCATTCCTTCAGACTTCTTGGTGAATGTTAATAAGAACAAACACATACAGCTTCAAAGGAAAATCAGCAACACACATACAAACTAAACCTTAAAGCTCTCACTCATTTTTCCCCAGGCAGGATTCTAACTGCTAGTGCACTTTAAACTCTTAAGATAATTATGCTGTGATACAGTTTAAGAAAAACATACTGGCTATTTGGTAAGATCTTTCTTTCTCAATTCTTGAAAAGTTTTATAAATTTCCATCTGACTTTTCTCTCCTTATGTAATATATAAATCATTATCCAGAAGATCTCATGTCATGTCTGCTGATACATAAAGAAGGAAAATGTCTTAAATATGACACTACAAGAAGTCCTTGACCAAATAGATTACTCTGACTTTTTCTACCCGAGCCTTTTTAATATGATTTTATTCATTTATTAAAAATGTAAGTGGACTAGAACATATCACATTAGCAGCCCTTGAGACTGAAGTTCTCTGTTCATCCAGCAAAGAGTGGTTATTAGCTGTGCAAACGTCCCCACATCATTTCCATCCCCACAAACTAGGAAATGCCACTCCTGTTCCAGTCCATATGGCAGTTCAGTTTCCATAGCTCCCAAATCCTGGCTTGTCTGCTCAGGGTACCGAGGAAGGTGTTAATTAGTGAGAAAAAGCGTGATGCTGATTTGTATGTGGCTACCTGTGTTCACATTATTCTATTCATAATTTTCAATCTCTGCTTCAGAAAAGTAGTCTGGAAGGTGATCTCATAATCAATTTCTCAGAATTATAGCAAGTGATATTTCATTCAAGAGTAAAACAAAATGGTCTGAATAAGAACAGATAAAATCCTATTTTTTCCACCTAGCACTGAAAATACTAGCAGCTCAATTTAGTAAAGAATAATTTTTTTCACTTGTGTTTGAATTTTGTGCTTGTGAAAGTGAGGGTCTAACAGCACTGGCTTGAGCCAGGGATCTGGGTCAAGTCCTCATTTAATGTGTTCCTAGCTCTCGTTAACATTAATGGGAGTTACACACATATCATGTTAGATCCCTTGACAGCACAAGCAGGTGCCAGGCAAATTTCTCAACAGCTCTGCCAATGTCCCTCAGTTGGACCTACAATACTTCTGCTGTTCTTGTCTTGAGCTTCTTTTTATCTTTAGTACATTAGTTTTGTGATGTTTATAAAGAAGAACTGAAAGCAGACCATCAAACTCATTTTCCCAAGGGGTCCATGTCAGGCTGGAATCCAAGCTTCAGAAGGCAAATAAGGTAGTCCATTTGCTTACAGATCCAGTTCATCCCCTGAATTACCTTTGTGTCATAGACTTTTCAACTACAGTAGAACCTCAACGTTATAAACACCAGATTTACGAACTGACTGGTCAACCACACACCTCATTTGAATCCAGAAATATGCAATCAGGCAGCAGCAGATGGGGGGGAAAGCAAATACACTATAGTACTGTATTAACTGTAAACTACTAAAAAAATAAAGGGAAAGTTTAAAAAAAAGATTTGACAAGGTAAGGAAACTGTTTCTGTGCTTATTTCATTTAAAAGCAGCATTTTCCCTCTGCATAGTAAAGTTTCAAAGCTGAACTAAGTCAATGTTCAGTTGTAAACTTTTAAAAGAACCATAACGTTTTGTTCAGAGTTATGAACATTTCAGAGTTACAAACAACCTCCATTCCCAAGGTGTTGGTAACTCTGAGGTTCTACTGTAAATTGAAAGTCCCCTAGTAATTTCAGTTTTCCTATTTTAAAAAAGAGAAATCCATTCGCTATAAATTCTGTTACACACAATGGCAACTTACAATGCATAACAAATTTATTAAAGCATAAGCTTTCGTGGACTACAGCCCACTTTGTTAGTCTCTAAGGTGCCACAAGTACTCCTGTTCTTTTTGCGGATACAGACTAACACGGCTGCTACTCTGAAACCTTACAATGCATGTTTTGCAGAAACCACAGCTGAGAAAGGCAGAACTTTATGACCCAACCATCAGCCAACTGAAGTCTCTGCCTTGGTCCGTTAAGCATTTCCCCGTGTGTTACCACTGTAGCCTTTTGCAATACACCTCACTGAGAGAGGATAACTCTGCACTTGCTCTTTGATTAAGACTGAGCAGGTTTCCTTACTGGCCAGCACCTCTCCTTCAAGGTTTCAGGGTTCTTTTTTCCTTGGACCCTCGCTGCTTGAAAACACCCACACAACAGTACAACTGCTTAAATCAAGATTTAGTAATTCCATTTTCTCTCTGTTGTTATAGCAAAAACAGCTTGCTTGACAGATCGAGATCAAACTCCCCATAATCTCCACTAGCTGAGGTACTCACAGCTTACTTAACAAAAAGAAAGGCTCACATGTTTAAAGAGCAAGGCCTAGCTCTGACTGCTTCTGTGAGGAGTGTGCCAGTCCCCATCTTGTCCAGAGAGCAAGAATTTCCCTCCTCTCCCATAAAACCTCTTTCTCAAGGCTCCAGTATTCAAGCTCATTAGCATATTGGGGTACGTCTACACTACCCGCTGGATCTGCGGGTAGCGATCGATCTATCAGGGATTGATTTATCGCATGTAGTGTAGACGCGATAAATCGATTCCCCGATCACTCTCCCGTCGACTGCTGAACTCCAGCTCGGCGAGAGGCAGAAGCAAAATCAATGGGGGAGCCGCGGCCATTGATCCCGCGTCGTGAGGACGCGAAGTAAGGCGAACTAAGATATGTCGACTTCAGCTACTCTATTCTTGTAGCTGAAGTTGCGTATCCTCGATCGATCCCCCCCAGGTCTAGGTGAAGCCTTCTTTTTTTCCCTTCCAAAGCATTTTTTCCTAACCCTACCTTCCCCCGAGTTAGGTTACTCTCTCTCCAATGGGCGTTTAGACATAAGCGTAGCACCTCACGGGTTGTTCTGTAAATCCCTGCCTAATCCATCAGGCTGCTTATTGATTGGCCTTTTCCTCTGTTCTTGGGGATATGTATTTCAGTCTGGCTGGGGGGATATATTCTAAATCTAAAACTAACCTCTGTCATCTTCCTCGGCTATCAGGTATTAATTGGTTGACAGATGGTAATCAGTCTGTCTGTGTTTGCCTCTCTGTAAACCCAATCCCATGTCCTAGCACATGCGGTGCAGTCAAGCACATTTTCTGCTTCCTCTGGATCTTGTCATGATTCTCACATGCCATCCCTGTTAATTCCGTGTAGGGAGGGTTCGTCGAGGCTTGTCCCTCTCCAGGGCAGCGGGGAACCACACCGCCTCCCTTAGTCCCTGCACTGGCCCCTGGGGAATCAGTCGGGCCGCAGGAGTCCTGGCTCAAGCCGTCCGGCAGGGGCTGAGCAAACAGGTAAATCACACACCCAGGCGTCCGGCTCCGAGCAGCCTGGGAGAGGGGGAGACGGCCACCCGCGAGGTGGGTGGGAGGGGGGACGCAGGCCCTCCCACTCCACTGTGTCCCAGCCCGGGGCCCTAGCAGCAGCCAAAGGCCCGCTGCTGTGTCAGTGGGGATCCCGGACGCAACACACGGACATGGGTTTGGGCAGTGTTGCAGCCAGACTCGGGTCGGCTGCTCCCGGGCTACTTCCCAACCCCCTCTCTGGAGGTACCTGTGTCAAGGTGGTGTCCTCAGGGGGGTCAGTCCCCATTGGATCCTCGGGGTAGCTGGTGAGGGGTAGGCTCAGCGACTCTCCCACACACTAGTCTGCGTAGAGTATCAGCCGGTCAGGCCAATCTCCAGGTCCGCCGCTGGTTACTGGAGTCTTCCCAGCAGGAGCTGGGCTGGAGGCATCCGGTCTCTCCAGCGGCTGCCTCTCGAGTGAGCTCTGGGGTTGGGCTCTTATACTTCCTGTCTGGCACCTGACCTGCTGGGGGGCGGGCTTGGAGTGCTCTGGCCCCGCCCACTCAGGTGTCCGGCACACACCACCTCCCTACACTCCCCAATGTTGTTTTGTGGAAGTTCAGCATATATCCCACCACAGACTCACCCTGCCTCTGAGGTGCTGCCTTTCCATTCACACCTTACCATGTCCATGGGTTCCCTGATCCTCCTGCCATACTTGCGTTCCAAAGAAGAGAAACCTTTAGGCACTTCCTTGCATCTCGGTCATGTGGGTGCTGACTGGCAAAAGTTTTTAACTTCATAGTTATGACTCCATTAAACTGGTCAACCAGCCTGCTAATCTTGGGGTATATGAGGAAGACTGGAATTGTTGACCCTATACTTCTCCCATAAACTTTAGAGCAGGATTGATATACAGTTGGACAATACCGCACTGGGGAAATCCCTCCTTTTCTCATTTCTAGCAAGTTATCAGCCACCTTGTCACCTTCCATAGAGGATAAGGCCAGCACTTCTAGGTATGTGCGTATTTTACAATATTTGCATAATTTCAACTAATTTGCATGTGACCATAAATTTCAGGTGATGGGAAATAGGCCCTTCCCGAGCAGGGTTGCAGGTGGGTCAGGGTTCTACATGGAACTTGGCAGCCCTGACTGGAGTAGGTATGGAGGTGTGAGGCAGTCTAGGAATTTGGGATTAAATGGGGGTGGGACAATTATGGCCATTTCTTGTAGTATCCTGGACAAACTTGACTGAATTATGATTAAGCCTTACTGAATTAAATGTAGGTATTTTAGGAGACCAGTGTATTAAAAATGCAAATGTTCATGTATTAGCGTGGGATTGTAGAGAACTTGTAGATAGGCCTCCGTGCAATATCTGAGAAGTACTGTGAGCTTCGAAAGACTATGCTGAACAATGTAGCAGACACTAAACATCTGTTGGGACAATACGTGTGACGTGGAATTTCTAGGAAGAATTTGGAAGAGGGGACTGCAAATTCTCACCTACTGACTGAGCCTTTGAAGCTTTGTCCTGAGGGGGAAGTTCAAAGACTGACTTACTCATGAGGGTGCTTGTTCTGAGCTGACGCTGTGATGAACTTGTAACCACAGGGAAATCCCGGTGTGGGACTGGAAGAATTGTCCACCATCCAGAGCCCTTGTTGGAGTCAGGGGCTGATCTCTGGTAAATCTGTTACCATGCCTGTAAGTTATTTTATTGTTTTAATATGTTTTCAGCATAATACTTTTACCTTAAGAATAAATGTGCTTGCTTAGAAAGAGTTGTGGGGTAGTTTAATCTGTGGCAATAATACTGCGTGCCATCTCTGAGGGGAGAAGTAAAGCAGGTAGGCGTCAGCAGTTTGCCTTGCTGGGGAATAACACAGTGAGGGTAGGGAACTATTCAGTCTGGAAATCCCTGGTCAGACAAGAGAGAGATAAGCCATGGCTGGGGAGCTGGAAACCTAGAGTGGGTGCCCTTGCTGGACCATAGAGGGGGAATACAAGTGCAGTTGCCCAGAGCCGTGACACGAGGGTGCTGGGGGTATGTGTGTCTGGGTAAGATGGGTAGGTTCTAGGGTGTTTGCTGGGTACTGGGTGGTGGAGTGGGTCTGAAATAGCTGGGAGCGTCTGGGTGCTGCTTGAGGGTAGCGGGGCGCTTTCAGGGGTGGGTGCATGTATGGCTCAGGTATGCGGGTGGGTCCTGGGTGCTGTTGGGGATGGGTGGATCCTGGGATATGACAGAGCCAGGGTTGGTGAATAGGTGCTGTCTGGGAGGAAAGCAGAGGTCCGTCTGGGGGGCTGTCATCTCTTTGGAGAGCAGGGGCCTGGGGTGTAGCTGGGAGTAGTGGAGTCTGGTCTGGCTGGGATGCAGGGATCTTTCTCGTGGTCTGGAGTTTGGCTGCGGGCAGAGTGTCACCGCCTGGGGGCCGGTGTGCCTGGGGCTAGTACTGAACCCCTTTCACCTTCTGTAGTGGGGATGACAGACAGGAGACCTGCCGTCCTGAAGCCAAGTCCCACAGCATTCTCTAGCAGCCAACAGTGGGCTCTGCAGCTTCTGCCCGCATCTCAGCCAGACACCCGATATTCAGACTGAGATTTGGACAGGCAGCTGGGCTACACACGCGTGACTGTCACATGAGAGGCACTTGGCAGCCCTGACCTCCATTCTCTGTGTGCAGAGGGGCTTGGACAGCATGTGAGAGAGGATTTCCGCCCCCCTCCACCCCTCACATCTTGGGATAGGTCCAGGGCTCAGGAGTTGAGCCTAGAGTGCTATACAACTCTTCAAAGGGAGGGAGTTATCCTTCCCAAAGCATTATTTAATACTGTGCATTTGATGCATAGGCCCTTCCTAGGGCTTGAAAGATTTTTTTATTCATAAACTTCATTCTGGTCTCATTCAGAATTTCATTTCTTTGCTGTTTGACTGTGTTCAATGGGTTGTTTGATCTAAAAAACAACTGCATGTGACAATTGGGTGCAATAAATGCTGTCTTTGCCATTTTGTTTTTAAATTTCAGTACATCTCCAAACAAAAACTCTTACCTGACTATAGTTGCCTTCAGTGCATCCACACTCATACAAAGTCATTTACTGCAAGTATCTTATCTGTCAAAACCTATTTCTTATCCTTTCAAAGCATGGCTTTGGTAAAGTCCCACGGCTAGCTCTTCATTTAACATAAATTGGCCTCTTTGCATTTAATTCAGTGGAACAATGCTGAGGATTGGGCTCTCATCTTCCACAGATTTTCATTTTGCATGTTAAAAAAAAAAATCTCTCTGCCAATTCTTCCTCCCTTCTCTGTCTCGTGACATTTAAAGGCAGGTAATTATGCAGCCATCTGTGCCCTTGTCAAGTGTTTTTTTTAAGTGTGCAGTGTTGTTGTAGCTGTGTTGGTCTCAGATCTTAACGAGATAAGACGGGTGAGGTAAAATCTTTTATTGGACTGACTTCTGTTGGTAAAAGAGACGAGCTTTCTAGCTACACGGAGCTCCTCTGCAGGTCTTCTTCAGCTCTGTGTAAGCTTGAAAGCTCGTCTCTCTCACCAACAGAAGTTGGTCCAACACAAGATATTACCTCGCTCCCCTTGTCTTCCGTTTTTAAAGTAGATCATTTTTATTTATTACCTCATAGAATTTATGCATCACATTATGATATTTTCCTGTTCCTCAAATGACTTATGCGTCTGTCCTCTCAGCCTCTGCAGGTTACTTATCCTTGTCTATTTTAACCAGCAAGGCCCGTGTCGATGCATAAAAGATTCCTTCTTGTTTTCCTCCTTCATGCCAATGCTCTCCTCCATCACTTTCAACCCAACACACAGTAGTCTCCAAGCAGTGGAATTCATATTCCTGATTCATATTCATTCCTGGCAACCTTAAGAATAACAACACTCTTCACGGTGTCACATTCATCTCAGACCAGCTATAGAATATGCGAGAATGCCATCACCTTCAAATGTGCTTTGACTTCATGAAGTTTCTCTTATTATTGTAATTCATCTTTATAGGACACGAAAAATATATATGTGGTGCTCTACAGGCAAGTACAATGTCAAAGGGTCCTGTCCTTGGATCCAGTCAAGCAAAGCCAAGCTCAGTCCAGGAGCTGAGGGACAAATGTGCTGTATGCCCCTGATCACTGTGGTTGAACTGGTCTCAAGAGCTGGTCTTCACGGAAAACTTTTATTGGCTTAGTTACATCGTTCAGGGGAGCAGACCATACTAGGTCAATGGAAGAATTCTACCGTTAACCTAGCTCCTGCTGATCAAGGAGGTGGATTAACTACAGTGATGGGAGAACCTCTCCCATTACTGCATTGAGTGTCTATACCAGGGGTAGGCAACCTATGGCACGCGTGCCAAAGGTGGCACGCGAGCTGATTTTCAGTGGCACTCACACTGCCCGGGTCCTGGCCACCGGTCTGGGGGGACTCCGCATTTTAATTTAATTTTAAATGAAGCTTCTTAAATATTTTAAAAACCTTATTTACTTTACATGCAACAAGAGTTTAGTTATATATTATTGACTTCTAGAAAGAGACCTTCTAAAAAGGTTAAAATGTATTACCGGCACGCGAAACCTTAAATTAGAGTGAATAAATGAAGACTCGGCACACCACTTCTGAAAGGTTGCCGACCCCGGTCTATACTGAAGTGCTGCAACTGCGCCGCTGTAGTGTTTTAAGTGTAGACCTGGCATAAGTTAGAGTAACCCTGAGGTTGATTTAGCAGATGCCCAGCTGAAGTGCCTCCCCACAAAAGGTTATTGTGTCAATGGAGGATGACTGGAGCAGAACAGGACTCTGGCCACGTCTTCCCCAACATATTCTCTGTTTTGCAGACTCAAAGAGGCATTGGGCTGGTTACACTGGCTCTGTGCTACTTGGGGACAGAGGTGCTGGAACTAGGGATGCTGGGGGCACTGCCGCACGCCCTGGCTTGAAGTAGTAATAACAAACACCAAACACATGGTTTCCATCATCAGCACCCCCACTATAAACATTGTTGCAGCACCCCTGCTTGGGGACTCCCCATGCGCCACAGAAATCCTTAGTTGGCCATTTAGGTCAGAGCAGCACAAAGCAGACTTCACATAGAGCAGGATCTGGCCCAAGCTCCCTGGCCCAGGGACATTCTATCTATAAGCAACACCAAACCTCAACAGCCGGGCAACAGTGAGAGGGAGAAGGGCACTGCTATAGCAGAGGCGGAGGCTGCCCTTTGGAAGTGCCGTTTCCCCCCCGCTTGAAGTTGTTTGTCTCACATCATTCTTCTTTGTAAGTATATAAAAGTGTTATTATGTATAGCGAGGAGTGAAGGAGTGTCTTCCAACGATGGGCTTGAATGAGAGGAGTACAGCTGGACGAACGCTGCAAAACAATTCACTGTGAATTAGCTTCTATTGTGTTTCGGCCCCTTTCTGGGTTCACTTCCCTTGAACAGTCCAGTGAACGAGTTTACAGCCAGCCATGTTTGCTAAAGCTGTGAATTTGAAACAAATACTACAAAATGAGAAGAGTGAATTTACAATTTATAATATTCACCCCAGGAAACTGATTCTAAGACTCTAAACTCATCTAACCAGGGAATAAGAAACGTACCATGGTGGCTACTCCAGAAATCTGACTCGCCACCGGGTTACTGCAATTTCACCCTGGTGTAGCAACCCTGGTTCCAGCAGAGTTCCACTGGCACAGAACTGGAGTAGCAGAGAGGTGAAACAGGCCCTAGGTGTTCACTAAAAACAGCCCAGATTTTAACTGTGGAATATTTGCAGCCAATTGCTCCAGAAGAGTTAGAGTACAGACCAAAACGTATCCCAATTTATTTGGGGGTATTTATTTGGGGAATCATTTTGGATTCACACACACTCTTGAGAAAATCACAGTCTCTTTAGGGTTAATTCATTAAAAGACAGGGAGGTAGAATCTTGCAGATGTAAGTGAAGGGGCAGAGAGGTGCGTTTGCAGGAAACAGTGCACTAGATAGGCACGCCTATCAGGGTAGCTTGCTTTAGTTGTATGCATTAATTCAATTTCCCCATTGATTAAAGAGTCATACTAATGACAGCAGACTTTGTACTCATGGAGTATGTCTACTCTGCAATTAGACGCCTGTGGCTAGCCCCCATCAGCTGACTAGGGCTTGCAGGATTCGGGCTAAGGCCCTGTTTCATTGCGATGTAGGTGTTCAGACTTGGGCTGGAGCTCAGGCTCTAGGACCCTGCGAGGTGGCAGACTGAACTCAAACGTCTACACTACAATTAAACAGCCCTTAGCCCAAGCCCCACAAGCCTGCGTCAGCTGGCACGGGCCAGCCATGGGTGTCTAATTGCAGTGTAGACATACCCATGGACCCAAATTCTCAGTTGCCCTACTCCTTGTGCAGTTGTTTGTAAAAACCCTTCTAAATCAGAATAGTAGCATTTTGCACTGATATAAATGACAACATAGGGCGCAGAGCAATGGCACATCTGGTTGATGGTCTTTCCTCTTAATTCTTTCTCTGAAATGGCAGGGACTTCATCCCCTAAAATCTATAGATCTCTGGAACTATACAAACACAACTCTCTTTTCCCTGCAATGACATCTCCTCCCCTACCCCTCTGCTGCCCTTTGATGGCAAAGATTCTCTGGGAGCCATGCAAATCAGGGAATACAATATAGCATGAAATTCCCGCCATTGCAAAAGAGCAGTGCAAGGTCTTTGCATCATTGCAGTGTTGCCAGCTTTCCTGATATTTGGTCTTCTCCTTAAAGCCCTAGCAACTGGGGTCAAGTGATTCTATAAGACTCTCAGCTTTCTTTTAAAATAAAAAGTAAATTTCTAGTCCTCATGGTTGAAAACTTGAAACAAGTGGACCTCAGAGACTCAAAACCGGAAGGCAAATAAAAAGAAGCAAAAATGTATTATTATTTTTTTAAATCTCATGGTTTTTTTGGGGACTGACTTCTGCTTTTTAAGAACATGTGGAGTTGACTGTACTGCCAGTGTCCCACTTAAGCCATCCACATAGGCTGTGAGTTTTAACTGTTGCAGCAGTTTCTTGCTGGCCCTCCGCACGGGTGTGAATTTCTTCCATTTTGATTGCACAATCCCATTAGCTTTATAAAGGTATGTTACGGTGCTTTGTTTACCCTGCAAGACAAATGGGTGATGCAGCATTGTTTACACATGCTGCTTCATTCCTTGGTGTTTCATTTACTTTTCATTAAGTATCTCAGTGAGTCTCAGCAGCAATCTGCAATGTTGCTAGCTGGGCATCCCCACAGATTTGTCTTGCTTAGTAACAAGATGAAGCCAAATACCACTTTTAAAATAAATCAGGACTGCCCACCAATTTTTGGTGTTTCCACTGGGACAGAATGTCTCCTTATCTTAGTCAGCCCAGCAGTGGAATAAGGTCCCATCCCAAGTCACGTTTGAGCTACCCAGAGCCTGGCTCTGGAGGTACGTCTGTACTGCACAGATCTTATGGTGGTAGATAGAGGACATGCACTGCATGCCCCTAGCATGAGTATAAATAGCAGTGTAGATGGTGAAGGGCTGCTTAGACGAGTAAAGACATGTCTGAACCCTGTGGGTATGTACCATACACAGCTCTCTCTCTCTATCTCTCTCTCTCTCTCTCTCTCCATGCCCAAGCTGTGCCTGTCCTATCTACACTGCTATCTTTGGCAGTGTAGTTTCCTGCTGCCTCCCTGATGGCAGAGCCTTGCCCTTGCCGTAGATCAGAGCTAGCGTGGGAATTTACACCATTCCAGCTCTAGTATACATCCCTTCTTCAGAACCCTGCCTCACGGCCAGCCCCGGGACGGGCGTTATTATTTGCCAGTGTCTATATTCACACTCTGCTGACACACTTTTAACGTTCTTGGGCCCATCAAAATTCTCCATCAAAAAGAAGATCCAGCCAACATTTCCCTTTCTTCCCCGTGATTAGTCACGCTCGTGGATGCTCCCAAGTTCAATTTATGATCCAGTCAGGAGAAACAAATATGGGAAGTGTCTTGAGAGCTTCCTTTCTTATTTATTATTGGTGTGTCTTTTGTCACCTATTTTAATACGAGGTTAGTTGGTCTTATTAATTAAAATCAACACTGCTCCTTTGACCTAGTTAGATATGCCTGATCAGTATATAAATACATAAGCCTGTTTTAATTAAATTACTTCCAAATTGTCAGTTGTATGTTGGACAGAAATCTGACCTCATTCAGTACCTAATTTAGTTGTTTCAAAGTCTCCATCTGGAAGATAAAACCGAGAATCGGTTTAAACCACTTGGGTGCTGAAAAGAGGTTAGGGCCTCTGGAGTCGCTGTAGATGTCACGACATCAATGTAGGTGTAATCTGGTGTCTAATATCCGTTTTACACGGGTTGTGTCACACAGGTTAAGAGTCTGATATGGGTTAAGATTATGATTAAGAATGTGCAAGATCTCACAGTTCTACTGGATCTAGAGGGCAAAAAATATAAATATATAAATATAAATGTGAAATATAAAGAAAGGATGAATCTAAAATGTCTGCACAGTATAACTCCTCGAGAGTTGGTGAAAGTGTGGTGGAAATATTTTGTCAGCTGCATTATTAATATTTGTTTTGTCTTTCAGGTTCAAGGTGAAGAACAAAAATCTTTCCTACACAAAGATTTTTGCTTTTCCCCTCCTTTTAATTTTATTTACAGTTTTGTGTACTAGCATAGGGACGGCAACAGAGCTACACCTATTTACATCAGCTGAGGATCTGGCCCATAAAGGGTTATGTACTACTGGGATATATTTTAGGCAGTGATCTAGAACATTACTCTCTATACAAGACATATAATGCGAAAGGGTTTCATAACAAAAATTTCCTCTTTTTCTCCATTGGAAGGCTTTTCTGAACAAGGCTGATTTGCTGTGGGACTTGAGGCCTGCTTTTCAGAGGTGGTAGGTAAGTACCCACAGTGCCCACTGCCCGCCATTTTGGTTGGTTTGGTGTCCACTCATTTTTTGAGATGTATGGACATGCAAACCTGGGGAACATCTGGGTGACTTATTGTAATTGCGGTCACCAGGCAATCCTATTGTTCTGCAGCAATCCTTGTCCTCACATTGGTCGATACTAGCTCCCACACAGCACCTGCTGGGGACAGTCCTTGCAGAGCCCTTATTTTTGATTAAATGATCCCCTTTTCCTCTGAAGTTAATGGCCCCTTTCTCTCTGAGATAAATGACCGGGTTCCCGGACTTACGAACATCTGACAAAAGCATAACCCTAAGTGTGCAGTCTCTGCCACCAATTACACACATGCAAAGTGAAACAAAGTTTGAAAAGAGAGAGACAAAAATCTCTAAATAAAAATTAAAACACAGTAAAAGCAGAGCTGGGCTAGCACAGAGAACTGTGAGCAAGCGAGGCTCAGCTCTTGGTTACAAAGGAGTAGTTAAGCAACGGAAAAGCTAACACTTTTATAATTTCCTTGTCTCTCTTTACAGCTGCACAACTCCTGTGAGCGGCATCCCATTTTGGTGTGCCATGGGTGCAGCATGGGAGGGTTCTACCTCTTCGTTTTTTCTATTCTGACTAAATCAGTCTAAACACTCAGGGCCAGCTTGTGAACCCCTTCCGCACAAAGCGGTTCCCCGATGACAACGTCACTCATGTGAGGAATGGCTTTACAATCTGTCCCTAAACCCCTACAGTCTATGCCCCAATATGTAGGTGGGAGCGGAAAAAAAGCACTTCAAACATTGATGGTAACAAATAAGGGGAAAGACGTGTTTTAAATTCCATGCGCTTTCTTCTAGTTTGTTTGCAAAATGTTATGGTTCATGAAGCAACCTTGTCATAGTAAAACTGAAAAATATGTTCGACCAAGTCTTTGCAGTGTGAAATTCTGCAAGATGTTCTGAAGTTCCAAGGCAGGTGAATGGTTCAGGGGAAATGTTAACCAGCTGCATTCAAACATACTCAGCCGCACCTATCTATTGAGCAACCATCAATACAGTATTATTACTGGGATTCAATGGCTGTGCTTGCCTATGATCCCTGACTCCTTGGCACAGCTGAGGGAGCTGGGTCACAGTCTGTCTTACAGTGTTATTTTCAATAGGGTACTGTGTGTAGTTTGACGAGTGGGTTCTTTGGGGTGGGGTGTGGAAGAGAAAACTGCACCGATCACATTGCCTCTAAGGGTCACTCTAGAAGAGTCAACAACACTGTTGAAATATCTGTGGGCAATGACTGATACAAGTTTGACGCTGTCAGACTCAGATGCCCATGTCATCAAAACACTCCCACCTCATCTCTAATACTAACAAACATTGGCTAACAATCTATGATTCTTGGTTAGTCAAAGCTACTGCATTCCAGGATGATGCAGAACTTGGTTAGGTTTTCTAATATACCCAAGGAAGGCACAAAGATGGGAAACATTTTACAAGCAAGCAAATTAAATAAAGCTCCAAGAAACATAGTTCAGTATTTATTATTATTATTTATAAATCGTATTACAGTAGTACCTAGATGCCTCAACCCAGATCAGAGCGCCACGGTGCAAGGTGCTGTACAAACACAGAGTGAGAGATGATCTCTGCTTTAATGAGCTTACAATGCAAATACATGAGATGGACGAAGAGTGGGGAAAGCAGTATTATTTACTTTTTATAGATGGGGAGCTGGGGCAGAGAGAGATTAAGTATGACTTACCCACAGTCACATTGGAAGTCAGCGGCAGAGCCAGAAATGAATCCAGATATCTTGAGTTCCAGGCCAGCACCTTAACTGCTAGATGATCCTAAGCACAAAATATGCATTTCCTGGTTTAAATGTCTTATTTCTTGTTAAAGGAAAGAAGAAACAACAAATATAAAGTCTCCGTGTGCGAAAGAGAACAGTGATTCACTAATACTCTGCACCTGAAGTGAAATACAAACGATCAACGGTCTCACAGCTGCCATTGCAAGCAGGTAGCAACTTCTCTTCATTGGAAGGTGCAGCTCACAGAAAACAGAATGACCACATCCCCTTTTAGATACATAGCTATATGCACCACAGTAGAAATATCCTGATGTTAAAGTCTCATGGTATCTTATGATCTACAGTTGCTAGAAACAAAAGCCTCATCCCATTGGAAAGGGAGGATTCCTAGATTTCTAAGGACTGAAATCTCCTTATTCTAGCTCCGAGGGGTGTGAATTACCAGATGGAAAGGCCCACATTTTTTAAAGTGGCCATTCATTTTGGGTGCCCAATTTTAAGCACAGCCCGTTGAGCGCCTGCAGAAGCCATGTCTGAACAGGAGGCCCAAGCCGCCTCAAACTGGACACCCAGAAACCACAGCACCCAAATTAGTGAAGGAAAGAAGGAATAACTTCTATGGTACATTGTATATTTTGAAAGAAAAAGCAGCGGCTGTTTGTGGCTGCTCGGACGATGGGCTGCTATAATCAGTCCTGGCAAATATGAGTGGGCAGACGGCAGGTGCCAGATGTGGTATATAGAATTGTTTGTACAGGTATTACAAGATTATAATACAGCAGCAGTGCCTGTTTTAATGGGAAATGGGCACACGGATCCCTTTAGGCAGCTTTCAGGCATATTATAATGTGCTCTTTTTTTAATCTTACAAGGTACAATTCAATATGAATGAGAGAGTGGATTCCAATTCTTCACTCAGTTGGCCTCACATGCAGAGTTTCAATGGCACATACAAGTATCCATACCCAGACCACAACATTTCCTATGTGGACTTCTACCTTCATCAGCCACTAGTGGCAGCCATCTTCATCGTCTCCTACCTCCTCATCTTCCTCCTGTGTATGCTTGGCAATGGAGTGGTTTGCTTCATTGTTCTGAGGAGCAAGCACATGCGCACAGTCACAAACCTCTTCATCTTGAATCTGGCTGTCAGTGACTTACTGGTGGGGATATTCTGCATGCCCACCACTCTCCTGGATAACATCATAGCAGGTGGGTAGAACCTGCTGATATAAATGTTGGCGCGATCATGGAAATCTCCTACAGCGTTTGGTCCTCACTCGGGATGTGAAAATGCTTCAGACAAAATAAGAACCCACCAAAATCTTTGCCTAAGCCTGCCCTGGACTAGAGCCCTAAATATATATCCAGTTCAAGAACAAGCAGAGCCAGATCTTTGGCCCCTGCTTTGGCTTCTGGGCATCATGAGAGCAGTTCAAAGGGCCAGGAAGCTGCAATCACAGCATAGGTGGTCTCACTACCCTTAGCAAGGGTGAACCCATGCTAAGTTACCATGCCCTGAGGCTACTCAGATGTACAAAAGGGAGCCAGTCCAGTCCCTGGCTGCCAATCAAAATCTATTTTTGAATAATCTTTAATGGAATTATACATCAGAGCACATTAAAATGTACCACATTTTCCTGAGTCAGCGGGAGGTTTTCTTTAACCCTATGACTTTTTATGGATTAATACATAGTAGCATATTAAAATGCTAATTAAAACTTAAATACCAAAATCTGAAGAAGCACACATCTAGATTTATCAAACTTTTAAAAAAACCTGTACACCATCTACTAGTTAGCCATATATGTTTTTTTTAATTTTCAACCAGGAATAAAGTTTCCTCTTTCTAATAAATCCCTCGAACAGCTGTCTTTAAAATCTGGTAGCAGCTGTCTTTCAAAACTGGTAGAGAACCCCTAGAGGTATCACAGGTTTAATCTCTATTCATATTCCATTTGCTCAAAGTAATACCTTTCTTATCTTTTTACATTTATTAGAAATTAATACTATTGGCTTAAACTGCATAAGAGGCCTTTTAATTTTAGTACATTTTTACCTAATTAATTGCATAGGATATAAAATACCCTATAGAAGCAGTTTATAAGTATGTATTTGTCACCTGTCATGGAAATTTATCATTTGTGAATTACAAAGAATGTATTAGTTTCAAGGACACAGCATAAAGAACCCTTGACCAGAGTTGTGTTAGACTAAAACATGCATACAAACAAAAAGCCCCAATATTTTTGACCAGTAGCTATTGACAAAAGAGCCTGTCTAGCACTTGTGTACCTATCAGAGAGATATTCATCTAGATTTATGTATCAAATTTTAAAAATCTATTTAATTTCAAATTATTTTAACACATATAATGGTATGCATAATACGTGAGCAGTGCAACATAATGGCACTCAAACCACATGGGATATAGAGACACAGTTTTGAATTTGTCTGGTTAAGACCATAGCCCATTGTATGGGTTGTATTACTTCTAAGACATTGAATAATAGGTGTTTTGTTTTTTAAAGATAAGACAAGACTTCGTGTTCCAACTATCCTTTATTTTATGTTTTATTTAAGCTCCCACATGCGTTCTGGATCTCAGAGCCTGCCGTCAATATTTGAAGAACGACTGCATAGACTTTGGTTTTATTGCTACTGATTTTCGTTTTCTGAACATATAAAATAAAAGTATCAGAGGGGTAGCCGTGTTAGTCTGAATCTGTAAAAAAGCAACAGAGGGTCCTGTGGCACCTTTGAGACTAACAGAAGCACCCTGTTAGTCTCAAAGGTGCCACAGGATCCTCTGTTGCTTTATATAAAATAAAAGGCATCTTTATTTTGTTTTTTGCCTAATCTTAGCCCATACACTAGTGTACAATGTTAAAATAGTAGAGGAATTTTTACCCTGATTACTGAGCTAACACCAACTTTGCTGCTATTGTTAAATGGAGATTTAAACTATAGTACCCACCAAAAGGAGCACACATCTACAATTATCTAACATATCTAAATAATTTTTTCCACACATTCCCTCTTACATGTTTATTTAAAACTAATAAAGAGTTCCTAATAGTATTACAAGCCCTGAGCCCCCTGCCCCCAAATATTCCTATATTTCTTCCACCGACTCATAAATGTTATGTATTTCTTCCCGTAATTTTGAATTATTGGAAATTAGTCCCTTTGGCTCAAACTATGCAAGAAGTCTGTTAATTTTGGTAGTTTTGCCTAATGGAAAACATAACATTCAAAAAACAAGAGAAAACAAACAAACAAACAAAACCTCTAGCAGACAGTTTACACTGCTGTATTTCTTTCTTATATTGGATGTAAGTTAAGCAAGTTTAATTTCCAGGAGAATACAAACCCCTCATTCACAGAGGTGTATGATAGTAAAAAAGAGCCAGGAAAAAAAAGCAGAAATCCATAATTTTGTAATGGTTTGCAGCACAGAGATAAAAATGTTATTTGTTGTTCATTAGGTCTCTGATGAAACATCAAAATATTTATCAGAAGGAAATGGAGAGGCTGGTACACAATGAACATCTCTTTTACCACCCTATTACCATCAGATATCAGGAAAAGAATGGTAGGGAAGTGTGGATGGGAGTTTGTGTGGATGACAGCTGTTGCAATTTTTATCTCTATACTTCAAACAGATAGAAAAGTATAGACTGCGAAAAAATTTTCATGCTCTTTTTTTACTATAATACATCTGGCCTTTTTTGCCGCCCCGAGCAAAAAATAATAAAAAAATCGGGGCGGCCAGAATGGCAAAGCAAAAAAAAAAAAAATACTGTGGCACAGACGGAGCAGCAAAGCAGGAAAACAAAGCCAAAAACCTGCGGGGCGGCCAGAGCCAAGGTGCAAGGGGACTCCCTGCGCTGCAGACGTGCCCCGGCTGGAGGGGGAGGGAGCGGGGGGAGAGAGAGAAGGGGGGTGGCCAGGGCTTCAGCGGGGCGCTCGCCACGCAGCCCCGACCGCTGCGCCGCCTGCCGGGAGGGCTCCGCGGCTCTCCGGTCGGCGGGGAGGGAAGGACACGGGCTGCCCTGCTGGGCTTGCTACAGACCTGGCACCGGTTGGGGCAGACAGAGCGCGCAGCCCGCTCTCAGCAGGGCGCTCCCCTCCTCCGCGCCGCCACCCCCTACAGAGCAGCCGGATCGGCGGAAAAAAAAAAAAGCGGCCGTGCCGCCCTAGCATTGGGCAGAATGCTGCCACGTAGAATCTGCCGCCCCAAGCACCAGCTTGCTCGGCTGGTGCCTGGAGCCGGCCCTGTCAAAGCAGGACCAATTCCCAACTAAATCATCCCAGCCAGGGTTTTGTCAAGCCTGACCTTAAAAACCTCTAAGGAAGGAGATTCCACCACCGCCCTAGGTAACCCATTTTAGTGCTTCACCACCCTCCTAGTGAAAAAGTTTTTCCTAATATGCAACCTAAACCTCCTGCACTGTAACTTGAGACCATTACTCCTTGTTCTGTCATCAGGTACCACTGAGAACAGTCCAGATCAGTGGTTCCCAAACTGGGGTTCGTGAACCCCTGGGGGTTCACGAAATGTTACAGGGGGTTCTCGGGAAAAAATTCCCTAATGGCGGACAGAGCTGTCCCTAGGGACCCCGGGCAGCACGGGGCCAGCAGACCGGAGCCCCTGGACTTCCCAGAGCTAAGCAGATCAAAGCAAGCATATCTATCACACTAAGGAGATTTAAACTTCAAGACTCCTTATAAGAAATGGAAAGGGAGTGGATATTTATTGCTGTTTTTAAAATTAAATAGGCAGCTAGTATTGTTTTTAAAATTATTATGAAGAACAAGTTTAAGCTTTGTTGAAATGTGCGTTGTTTGCCTGGACTGCTCAGGACCTGAATGCTTGTGTAGGAGGAACTCTTTGAGTTGGCTTCTTAAATACCTTTATGCTCTTTCACATCTGATACTCCTTGATGAAACATAGGAGCCTTGTCTTATAACAGTCTTATTCAAAGTGATACAAGCTATGAAAGTGAGATCTTGGAAGAGTTTTCATAATATAATAAAAATACTGTAATGATAAATAATAATAATAAATAGTGTGTAATAAGCATGTCATAAAAACAAATTTTATATTTCCAAGATCACTGCTTTTTATCATTTATACTCCGGTAAAGGAGAAACGCCCCTGGAAATATTCATTTTTAGGAGGGGGTTCGCGAGACTTGACATTTTAGTGAAAGGGGTTTGTGGGTTGTTAAAGTTTGGGAACCACTGGTCTAGATCCATCCTCTTTGGAACCCACCTTCAGGTAGTTGAAAGCAGCTATCAAATCCCCCCTCATTCTTCTCTTCTGCAGACTAAACAATCCCAGTTCTCTCAGCCTCTCCTCATAAGTCATGTACTCCAGCCCCCTAATCATTTTTGTTGCCCTCCACTGGACTCTTTCCAATTTTTCCACATCCTTCTTGTAGTGTGGGGCCCAAAATTGGACACAGTACTCCAGATGAGGCCTCACCAATGCCTAATAGAGGGGAATGATCTCGTCCCTCGATCTGCTGGCAATGCCCCTACTTATACAGCCCAAAATGCCGTTAGCCTTCTTGGCAACAAGGGCAAACTGTTGACTCATATCCAGCTTCTCGTCCACAGTAACCGGTAAGTCCTTTTCTGCAGAACTGCTGCCTAGCCATTCGGTCCCTAGTCTGTAGCAGTGCATGGGATTCTTCCATCCTAAGTGCAGGACTCTG